TAGGAATAAATGACACAACATTAATGCCTCTAAAAAAAGACACATTTACAACGTATTAGAACTGAATGTATTTAAAATCTAATAAAGAAAAATATATGTGTGATATCACTGATTTTATGTATCGTTACATGCCAATATTCCTCTTTTGGAACACTGCGATTTCACGCTGTCTTGAGGAAATATTTTATTTTTATTATTTGAATTCCTTTTATTAACTCATTAAAGTTGTCCTTTGCAGGTATGATGGGGAAAGGTTTAGGTGGATTTGAATTTTTAGGAATTTAATAGAAATTTTTTTTAAAGTATTGTAAAAATCATAAAAAAGCCGATATTTAAAAACTTTCCCCTCAAATATTCATATTTAAAAAATAAATTTTGTGAAAAAATCAATCATATCTTTTATAATGCACGGTAATTTTTTTCAAGCTGAAAGATATGACTGTGTATTTTTAATAAAACATTAAACATAATATTGCAAAAAAGGAACATTGGCACGTACAGTGGGTGGGGTGATCGGTTAACGAACATAATCCATTTCAAGTTTATGTTCGCTGTCCGCATTGTTCATTAACCAATCACCAATTTATCACATATGTTAATGGGAATTCTATTAATTCGTTCTGTAGATTCTAACAATTAAATTTTTAAAAATGTCATGAACAAGTATAATTTCTTAGTAAGTTTGTTTATTACAAATATAATACATATACTCTTACTTATTAATCAGTCCTTTTCCTTTCTTTGGGCGTTAAAGAACATGTCCAATGTCGATTGTTTTTCTCTCTCCTTCAGGACTTTCAGGAAATGATTGATAGCAATGTCGTTGAACATTGCTATAACATTGCTATCAATGTTCAACGACATTTATCAATGAGATCAGCAACCCTATTGACATCAGCTTGTTTTGGGTGCCATATTAAGACCGTTGCTCAGATATCCTCCCACTTCTTCAAAAGATCTTTAATGGCAAATGTCAGCATTGCTCCTCTTTCATCTTCCTCTTTTTCAGAAGGAAAAACATTTTGCTGAGTTTCTTGGTGTTCTTCATTCAAGATTTCTTGGAGTTCTTCTGCCGTCAAGTCACCTTCATATTCCATTATGAGCTCTTCAGTGTCATCCTCGTTCACCTCCATTTCCAGATCTCTCGCAGTTGTACAATTTCATCCATAATTTCAGGAGTGTCACCCTGATCACCTCCATCTCTTTGAACGAGGGAAAGCTTTCGCCAGGCAGAAGCAAACTGTACGCCTTTTCAATAAGATGAATAGCTTCAAGAATGCCAAATTTTTCTATCCAAAACGTTTTTAAAGGCATTTTTGAGGAGAATTGGCATGCTTCAAAGCATCGCCAAAACAGCGCACGAGTGTACAATTTCTTGAAACCTGCAATAACCTCTTGATCTATTGGCTGAATCAGTGAAGTCGTATTCAGAGGTAAAAGTGATGTCCAATAGCAGCAATGCTTTCAATGGCACAGTGCCGGATCTTTGATTTTTCTTATCTGGGGCAAAAACTAAAACTGCCGCCCTCACACATCATCCTTAAAGTTTCTCTAACAAGTTTTAATTTTTTAATTAATACAGAAATAGATAGGGTTTGAGGTAAAATCCTAACCTCCATTTTATATTAAATTCTTTATGTGCCTTTTTTTTGGGGGGGGTTATAAAAGAAACATATGTACCAAAATTACATAATTAGAAAATCATCTCCTCCTAGGAGAATCGTTGAGCTTATTTTCGGATTCAATCCTAATCCTAACTGTAATCCTGAGTGCTTCTAACCCTCCAGTCCTCGCCACCATTCTTTCTTCCGCTCTAGGGGGGATGAGCATCTCCTAAGTTTCTCACTATTCCGTATTATTGCATCATGGTTAAATTAGGTTAGATTATATGAATATGGCAAACACAGGAGGGCTATCTGCTTAGAGGAGAGGTACATTCGTGGAGAAACTTTTTAAAGAAAACTGGCTCATATTCACGTTACACATGAGGAAATCCACGAAAATAAACCATGCAGCCAGCCTGTTCTCCTGGGTTTGAACCCAGGCAAGGTCAAACTACCAGTATTCATCGGTTTTAATCCCTCGGCCACTGCTGAGGACATTTGTTTGATTATTTATTATGTGTTTTGCCATTTGGCACTACATAGAAAAGAAGGAATGCCTACTGTAAAAAATTTGAAAAGAAAATTAGCTCGTATCTATGTTACACACGGGGAAAATCACAGAAATGCTCATACCACCAGCACATTCACATATACTTGACCCTTGGACCAAACTACTAGTGCTCAGTGGCTTTTATTGCTCAACCACTAATGGGAAAATTCCCAAGAAATACCTATTGCTATTGTTTTTCATGCTTCCTAAGTAAGTTCTTACCTGCCTTAACACTATTAAAATATTATGGAATTAGTAATGAAAATTAAAATTTTACTCTGCAAGCTTTTTGTTCTACAAGCAAATGCACGGAATCGTCATAATTTGATCTGCGGTTTGATTTTCGGTTGCCAGAATCGTGAGACTTGATAAACGCTCCTGGCTCACCGATGATCATAGATATTTTTTAATATGTTTTAATTTGCTGAAACTTTGATCTGAACAGGTTGAAGTGTTCGTGATTCATCCTCAAACAGTTCATCAGATTGCTTTGCGTGCTTTGGAATTTTTCCTTCGTTAGAATAGACTCAACTGCAATTTTTTCGGCTACTGTTTTAGACTCTTGTATCCAGTATTCCACAGAATGTTGGATACAAGAGTCTCATTCAAAGTTTCATTCCCACTCTCATTCAAGTCTCATTCCCGCTTTCATTTTTTATAATTCCTCAGTTTTTGTCAGTTTTTTCATTAACTACACAGAACGTAGAAGAGGAATTCCTTTTGAATTTCTATATTTACTCAATTGAATTCTGGAAAAATATTTGCTCAAATTTTCAGGTTGATAGTAAATTCAAAAATTTTCACAGCATGTACCAGATGTCCTACCTCGTGGTTTGATTCCGCATCAAGAGAAATATCTTTAATTTCTTTTAAATATTTTAATATTTCTGGTAAAGTCATTAGAAGGACTTTCACAGCCACATATTTTGCCGACCATCGTGTCTGGCTGCTTCCTTTTAAGTTATATTTTGTACATTTTTTCATAATATACCATCGAGTAGTGCGTCCAACAAAAAAGTGAAGTATTTTCTGAGTAATTCCAAACAGATTAACTGCTTCCGGGCACAAAGAAGTAGAATGCACATCGACAAGATACGAGGAATGATCCAAATATGGTACAAATTCCTCCAGCTTATTCATTTCTGTAATCCTATCTTGTACTGTTTTAGAAATGCCAGCCATATTAGACCCGTTGTCATAAGACTGACACCGACATTGTCTAATCAAGTGTCAATTAACACATTAATTTTCTACAATGCATTAAGAAATACATTCTCCTATCTGGACTGGTTTCGGGTGTTCCGAGAGCCGAGAGGTTTTCATTAGAATTAGTTTTTGTTCGTTGTCCGATTTGTTCGCTGTTCGAACTGTTCATTAACCAATCACCCACTGTAAAAGGTTAAATGCAACCACCATGGTGCTGTTTAGTGATTTTTTACTGAAGATGGAGAATAGTGATATATAACTTCAAAAAAATATATATATACATATATTATGTTTCAATTAAATATTTATCCTAAAAATGAACCAATAAGCTGAACTTACAACCCTTTTTTTTATATCTTTTGCTTTGATGGAAATTTCACAGTGATCATTTTAAGAATATATTCAAAGCAATCCCTTTATGATTTAACAGCAAAAGGCTATATTCTTGCAGAATATTTACCACAGTTTCTTTGACTATAGGCCTATTTCACTAGTGTGTACTTTAAAACAGAACATAAGATTAAATAAATTAATTAATTAATAAATTTAAAAAAAACACAGTTTTGCTATAAAACAAAAACTTGGAATACAACAAATAGAACATGTATTAAGATGATGACAGTTTTTACTGCAAATGAAGAATTATGAATGGGTTCCTAAAGAATTGTTATAGCATGATTGCCAGAGTTCAGCATATTCTAAAATTTGCCAATTTATTCTGAGGTGCTAATATGTAATGCCAGAGGATATGAGAAAAAGATTTGGTGATCTGAATGCTGTCAGCACAAATTTGTAAATGATTTTTTTTTATGATTATCTTTTTGTTGAAAACAGATTATCTTTTGAGGTGATCGACATTGTCTCTTTTTTTTATCAACAGAATTCTCAGAAAGGTAGTTGTAATAGCTTATCTTTTTTACTGTTATTCATTCTACTACGCAAAATGGGCTAACCTGCTAGGTGCCTTCATGATGTTTTACACATATGACATAAATATGAAATAGTTTGCATTGGAAACTTCTCTATGAAGCCATCCCTTACGAGATAAAGCGTCCTTAAACTATTTAAGCATCTTAATGACCACTTTCTTAAATAAATAGAATTGATTCAGTATTTTTTATTATCATTTTATGTATAAGATTGAGATAGCTTTCCTAATTTAAAAAGTCCATTGAAAGAAGTTAGTATTTATTTGCTTTGAAATAATTAGTCTAATACTGAAAGATTTTTTTTTTTTTTCTGTCTTTCTGAGGCCTATCAGTGGCCAAGTGGATAAAATTGCTTAACCCTTGTTGTTCTAGGCCTGGCTCAAATCGTGGTGAATGGGCTGGATGCATGAGTGTTTTCATTGGGTTTTCTTTATGTCTGAGTTAAACATCATTTCTCTTAGGCAAATAGCCATAATATCAGAATCAAACAACTTAATCCAATTCAATCTTCATGCCTTTTTGAATTAATTAATTAAATTTATTTTAAGTGTTTTAGTGAATAGATGATTAGTATTACACAGATAGTTTCTATTATAATTTCATTTTATGTATTTTGTTGTATTATTTATTTAACTAATCCTTGTAAATTTTTTAAAATTTTTTTCACCTTAAATAATGTTTGCTTCTAATTGGATAAATTTATTGATATAGTGCAAATATGAATATTGCTGGATTTGCCTTGAATCTTGGAAGAAGCACAGTCCGACAACAGGTGGTTACTTTCGTTGTAATCGGCACGATGCTGTCAAAAGGGCTGAGGTGAAAGCAGAATCATTAATTAATGAAGTACGTTTTAGAAATGTTAATTTGTTTTCTGTTTTAAATGTTTTTTCAATATTTATAAAATCAACAATATTAATAGATTTTTGTTGATTAATTAATGATACCTGAAATTGTTTATAATTATTAATTCTTTTATGTGTGCCTATAAAGAGTGCTAAAAATACATTAACTTTTAGTACATTTTAAATTGTGTATTTTTAGCATATATATTTGTCATCTTTAGGCAGAAGAACATAATAAACATATGCAGGAATTGAAGAGATTTTTACAGTATTATACAAGATTTAAAAACCATGAAAATAGCTACAAAGTGAGTAAATGATGCCAAATTGAGTAAATGATAATGAAGTTATGGATATTACAGGACTGTGTTCAGCCATAAAATTGTCATACAGATTTGTGAAATTTTTTTCAGTTATTTTTAGATACTTTCAGAATTTATGATCAAAATTCAAGCATTATGTGAAAAAAAACATTTAAGCTGATAAAAATTAATGCTTCATTATTTTTGTATTGAAAATATTTCATCTTATTTCTATTTTAAGTTAAAACAAAAATTTTTGGTGTGTCCTGATTCTATCATTCCTCTCACAATGATTACTTTGATATCAGTTAGATGGACATTTTCATTTAATTAAATATGTAAAATATCTTTTTGCTTATCTTGGTAACACTGAGTACTGTCATGGAAGCTGATCACACGTAATTATTTAATGCATAGCTTTCGATACCATCATTCATCACTTCATCATACAGCTTTTGTTTTTTTACATTCTAAAACAGGCAAGTAATTTTTTGCCATATTTATTATTGTTATTATTATTTTTTTGTCACCATGAGAGTAGCAAACTGTGACAGCTTGAAATTGGATCATGCAGTGATACCACAAAAGGGTTTCACATCATTGCTACTAAATACCAAACAGGTATACATAGCATGAGTTGTCTGTAATGATATTGTTATTGTAACATTAAATTCTATAATAAGTTATTTCCACTGAAAGTGTTTTATCACTGAAATTTTAAGTGCTAATTTTTTTAGAAATTTTTAGCTTTTTGTAGGAATTATTTAAAAAAAAAAAAGATTGAAAACTCTGGCTGTATTAATGTCATCTCTTTAAATGTTTGAATAAAGTTTTTTAAAGTTAGATGAAATATTATTTTTTTAAGCTGTGTTTAACAGGAGTGGACGTTTTCATTCTTTAATTTTTAATTTTTTACTTTCTTGCTATTTTGCCTCAAAAGACAAAGTTTATGAGACAAAATACTTTGTGTGAATAAATTCAAGTATTGTTCTTTTGTGTTGGATGCTATTTTATGTCTCTAAAAAAGAAAAAAAAATGTATTCATGTTCATCCAAAATGAATAAATATTTAAAAAAGCCATTTTTATATAATGTGACAGTATTTATTTATAGTTTATCAGTGAAAATGTTTGAACAGGTTAATTGGAAATAAATGTATTACTTAAAACATGTAAGCAAAGTGTTTAATTTGATGTTGTGTTATTATTTCATGTATTGGGCTGCCAGATTATTCTCTTTGTCACTGCATTGTTTCTGTACTGTGAATGATCCAAAAAAACTGAGAACAGCAGTATCCATTGCTAACCGTGTACTTTTATGATTAGTTGAAGGAGCTAATTATGATTATTTATATGATAATATGCCATTAGATACTTGTGACTTAAATCGTTGAATCATCTTCCTGTATTAATTTAATCTGTATTAAATCTCCATATTTCTGAAGAAAATGCAGCACTTTCTTTTCTGTCATACTACAAACTCACCCATTCCATTATAATTCTTTACAAGAGAAAAAAATGGGTGATGGAAATTGACACCCGTATGTTTACCTGGAGCGTGATATAAATATGTTTTGGTGAAGTCATGGGTTGCCTATTTAGGTGACATAGTTTGTTGTGCCTTCTGAATGCATTTGAGGGAGTATAGATAATTAAAAAGACCTAACCCCCCCCAAAGAAATATTATTAAGTTTTGACATTATTTTGTGGTATTTTATTCATACAATAAAGTATTCATACAATAAAGTGGTATTTTATTCATACATAAATTTCTGTAAGTATTAATGTATTTGATATTTTTTGCCAGTTACTGCCATACATTTGGGTCCACCAGCGGATGAGCTGTAAAGTCACTGAGCACTAGTAGATCGATCCAGGATTCAAATTCTGGTTAATGATCTGGCTGAATGGCCGTTTTTGTGTTTTCCCCTGTGTTTAGTGAGTTTATGAGTCAGTTTCCCGTAGAAATTCCTCCGTGAAGGCTTCCTTCTGTTTAGGCAGTTAGCTCTTAAATGCTTTGCCATAATCAAAATTAACCTAAATGTGTCTGTCATCCATTTCTTTAATTACTTAAATTAGATACTAAAATTTTTAGTCATGAATGCTGTGTTTTGCAATCTTGTAATTCATTTTAATTTGGCAATTTTTACTTTAAAGTTTTTTATTTTGGAATGAATAAAAAATTAGTGCCTAAGGTCGGGATTAGGTTAAATTATTGGAATACAGTAAAACACTGGAGCTATTTGTCTAGAAAGAAAGATGCCTTTGTGGAGGACTTTCCAAGGGAAATTAACTTGTATTCACATAATACCCACACAGACAGCTTTTCCATGTAGCCTTGAATTGGGGCATAATATCAATAATAAAATGCCTGTATGATTCATTGTGTGTTGATAATTAGGGTATTAATTTTTAGTATTTGATTTAGTTTATATTTTATCATATAAAAAAACTATGTAATAAAAATTTTAATTTTTTAAGTATTTATTTTTTTTTATTTTTTTTATTTTTTTTTTTTTTTTTGTACTTTACCATTATAGCAAGGTGTAGAAATTTGTTTGTTTTAAACCTAATGAAGATGTTTGTTCTTATTAGTTTTATGAATTATTTTCTTTAATGTAGAAAGATATTAACTCATATTTCTATTTTCAGTTTGAAGAGCCATTTATAAAATCCATCCAAGAAAAAATCAATATTTTAACTACAGCTGTGTTTTCTTATTCTGTGACTAATGTTAATATGTCCTTTTTACAAGATGCTATTTATGAACTTTTAAGAGCTCGACGTATTTTATGTGGTGCTTATGTATATGGCTATTACTTAGAAGATAATGGCTATAACAAAACTATATTTGAATATTTACAGGTAAGAAAGTCCTGCATATTTTATGCTAAAGTGCAACGTATTCATTTCCATATTTCTCACTCTCATGTATACCCTTGGTTATTACAACATATAATGTATACATTTTTTATTTACTGTAGAAATGTACATTGTTAGTACTGAAAGTTGTTAGTGACTTTGAAAAGCAGAATATAATGGCATTAGTGTGTTTATTCATGTAGACATCCTTTATCCCCTTCCATTAGAATTTTATACTTGATATAGTTTTCTCTTCTCAATTATCAGGAAATAAAATGAATAAAAATAAGGGGAAGGAATATGGTATATGTTGCAATAGCCTTAGTACCTTTTTAATAAATTACACTGTTTTTTAAAAAAGCCATGCATCCAGAAAAATTTTTGATTGAGATAAAACTTGATACAAGAAATAAAGGGATGAAGAATGGATGACAAGCAATTTTTTTGCATATCAAATTTTAGTCAAGAGCCATTATGTATTATGATGTGTAGTTGTCTGTGGTGGCAGTGCATGAATATATTTTTGATGTTTTATATGAATGTCAAATGCTGAGGTGCAGAATTTTTTGCTAGATATTCTAAAAATGTTGAGCAGATTCATACATATTGTGAGAAGAATGTAATTGTCCAATACATGTGTAATTGGGAAAAGATCTGGAGATCTTGCATGTTGTGTGAGAGAGATGGGGCACTACATTAATATTATTTGAAGATATTTATTGTATGCAAGAATTGTATTGAAACATGGTCCCTGACAGAATAACAGCACTAATAATATGATAAATTACGGAGTGTTGTTGGTACATTGTTGGGCTTGAAGTGCTGCAAAACATTGTTAAAGGTATCTGATTGTCACAAGCAGTGGCTTCCTATATAGTAATCTAAGATATGATGGATGCATACTCTTCCACAGTGATGTGGAGTGGGTAGTGTTCACCATGCTTTTTCCACATGCAAATTTCCTGCCTGTCTAAGAAAAATTAAACCTCTTTTTATTACTGAATATGACTCCAGTCTGATACATTCCAAATTTTTTTGTCATGATAGCAGAGGAAGTATTGCTATTCATGTCTGTAAGTTAGTGATAAATATTATAACATAAACCTATCATTCTGCTAAGAATTGTTTCAGTTTCCTTTAAAAATAGTTGCAGTAGTCTTGCGGTAGTTTTAATTTACTTTAGTCCAAAGATAAAAATGAATTATGTTTTGTTTTTCTGGTAAGATATTTATTCTAGTTTTATTTCACATAATTTATCCCCGATGAATATGTTTTTGAGTGCTATTATAACCCTTTTCAATAAGACAAAATAACATAAGTGTTTGATTTATTGTAACATTTTTAGAGTGACTTAGAAGAAGCAACGGAGAAACTTTCAGATGCTGTAGCTCGCACATATTTACAAACTCCACAAAGTAAAATTGTACAGATGATATCGCATGTAAAAAGAAAAAGACTTGATCTCCTTACTGCTGTCCACAAAGGTTTAATACCACCAGAAACTCCTCCAAGCATGAGAAAATCACGTAAACGACGATTACCAGGATTGATGGGAATGGATCCAGTTGATGATGTAAGTATATAGCAGTAGTTCCTAAAGTTTTCCGGGTCACGATGCCTTTTTTAATTGAAATTTTTACATGCCACCTTACCCTAAGTATGTATAATCATAAGTAAAGCATAAAAATAAATGAAACTGACATATATTCATTATTTACAATTTTTTTAAACTTTAAGTTAATGATTAAAATGATGGATGAGCCTACACATCACTGCACAATATCTCAAACCGTGGAATTAAACTGGACAGGGCCAACCTTTTCTATGTTGACTTTTGCTCTGTACTTCCTTTTTATAGTAACGACTGATGAAAAATGAGCTTCACATAAACACAATGTAGAAAGTGGAATTTAAATCCGCTGAGTTTTATCATATAGAAAGGAATATTCATCTTATATTCAAACCCAAAATTCTGTCAATTAAAGTCTGCCGAATTTTGCTTTCAAACTATTATTGCATGATAACTCAATAAGATTCCCTTCTTTCTCAGCAGTAAATTCAGACAGAGCACTTGTCTTAAATGGATCTTGATCCATGCAAATCTGTCAACATTTTCATTTTGAAGGTATTTTTTAAATCGGATAATTAGCTGCGATAAGGGTCCTTCAAACATGGTTTTTATATCTTATCTTTTTATACAATCAATTTTCTTCTCCGGAGTGTTAATTTTTTAAAGCTTTTTTTTTTTTTTTTTTTTTTGTGTGTGTGTGTGTGTGTTGTTTCTTGCTGTTGCTGTTGTTGACTTCAAAAGTTGATGTTTTTTCCCTGCAAAGAGAGCTTAAGGGAGTTCATCTCTTCAAAAATGTTGCATAAATATGACAGTTTTATTAAAAAATAAGCATCAGCAAAATATTCTGCATTTTTGCTTCCTTCCTATTTAAAGAAAATAAAAATTTCTTCCTGCATTTCAAAGGGACATGATGAAATATTACCACGAGAAAGCCATCAGGTACTGCTATAGAACAAGAAGGATGAATGTTTGGCTACCATATCCTCACACAGCTTTTTAAAAAACCTTTCTTTCAATAGATGAGACTTTATAAAATTTATCACATTTCAGTACACCTTCTAACACCAGATTCAATACCGGACTCGGATGTTTTAATGGAAGTGTTTCTGTATGGATAATGTAATGGGTCCACAGTGTATATCATGATTTGCTTTGAATAAGCACCTGTAATTCTCCATAGCAGCCAGACATGAAGCGAGTTTAGTGAAAATAATGCACTTAACCCAATTCAAATTATTTTCAGACATGAATGCATCAAGAATCTCGAACAGGTCCTGAGATTTTGCTTCTGCAGTGATATTTTTACAAAACATGTCTTCTTTAAATATTATTGTAGTCATATATTAAACTTACTTAAATATTATTACTTAAATATTATTGTAGTCAAACCATACAAAGCATATCAAATGTGCATCCTTACTATGATCCTTAGCCTCATCTAGCTGTAATCCATATTCCACCTCTTTAATTTTTCAGTTAATTGATCATTGATATCCTCCGCCATATGTTGTATCTTCTGACTGATTGTGTTATTGGACGAAGGCACATTTAAAAGCAGCGTCCCAGCTGACTCACTAACGATGATGTTCACCATATCTAATGTAGTCGGTAGAATAAGTTCTGCAATGGTATGAGGCTTCTTACATTTCACGATTCTGTGAGCCATCTTTCACGCCAATTGTCTTGCATAGCTGCCAGCAAGAAATGCACTCATTTCCCGTCCAGCACACTAGTGTGCCAGAGTGTTTTCTCGTTTGCTCCCGGTTGTCACATAGTTGTGTTAGTGTCTTTGAACATTTAAAAACTATAACGTTTGCCACAAGATGGCATTTCATGTCCATAGGTTTTGAGATACATATAGATTTGACCTACTCGAAATAAGAGAAACATGACTCACTTGGGGGGGGAGAAGCATAATGCAAACAGACTGGGGATTTTCTGTTTAACTTGTGATAAAAAACATTTGCATTTCTGATACTCCTCCGAATTCTTTTTGTTTGTTTGTTTGCTATCTTTTTCTATCTTTTTCTTTTTTTTTTTTGTAGGGTCATTTAGGATTACTATGTGAAGTTGTGTTTATGTTTTGCCTTGCATCAGATATATTTTGGGTTCTTCCTTTTTTTATTTTAGAAAACCTTGACTCCAGTTTATTATGCCGAGAAAATGTTATTTATCAGAGAAACTATATACTTACATAGTAAATGAGTCAATTAATGACATGGATTAGTGTGATGATTCATTTCTAAAGGGATACTTCTAGTGATTCTAAAAAATGCATTTGTCAGAGATTGAACTCATTGATATCCTCCGCCATATGTCTGCTTGCCTTCCATTTCCCGTGAAAGGTTTTGTTACTTCTTGTAAATAGTCTTCCTCGTACTTTTTTTTAATTAATTTTGATGTGTATTAATGTGTTTCGTCAGTTGAAACTTCAGAATTATTTCAATAGCTCATCCAAAAATTATTTTTAAAGTAAGCAGTTTTATTAATATATTTTCATGTAAAGTAAAAGAAAAGAATATTAAATGCTAATTTTAATATACATGATAGCTTAAGTAATAATCTGAAGTGGTACCAAAATTATGATGTTGTGACTTGAACTTTTTTTTTATGATTTTTTTTTTCTAAAGTTAGGCTTTGCCACTCAAAACCCCTGTCCTGTGGGAACATTCCTTTTGCTCTCCTCCATCCCAAGGGAACATCTTAAACAAAGGTGTGCCATTCTGAAAGGGTGAAGATGCTAGCAAAGCATTGTTCGGTATTGATGGAGTCTTAAAAAGTGTATACTTTTGTTGTCTCAGTTATTTTAACTTCTTAGCAAAAAAATCACAAGGTTTGCCAATCATGCTGTTGTAATTAGCTTCTAAATAGTGCTTCAATTAACTTGGAATCATAACTCCACTCTCAAAGCTTCCATATACAGTACACATTATGGTCTTCCTTCACCATTCATTTCTGGTAATATAAAACCAGACTCTAAATAACTGTCATTGTATTTCCGATATTTTAATTTTTTTTCAGTCGTGTCACCGGTTGAAGACATATTTTCTTTATCTGCTCTATTATGTTACTGTTAAAAAATCAGTCAATCATCAAAGATACAAGAGCAAAAAATCACAAAACTATTAATTAAAGACCACAAACAAGAAGTAATATAACACTATACTACATGAACTAATTTATATCACTTTTTATTTATATGAAGCGCTGGGTTTAATTTTACTAGACTTGGATTATACACCAATTGACCGAATCAAGCCAGTGATGCTTGCATATATGCTTTTCACAAGATCCTTCAGAACAGTTCAAATGTGTTGGAAATGGTCTACACACATCGACATGTTTATATTACAGGTCAACCTAAGTTGAGAACGCTGGATGTAATAAAAAGTGTATGTGTCGACAGTGGAATATAATTCTACATTTGTAGATAAAAAAATTACTATAAAAATTACAGTGTGAAATATCAATATTATTGAGCAAAGAGAATGGAATGAAAAGTACACGTGAAATGATAGATTAGGTTGCATCCAGTTTTTTATTTAAAAATTTGCTAATATGTCAATCATTCAATGATCTTAGGAAGACATCCACTTTTTTTTGCATTATTTGGAAACTTGCAAATTCCAGCAGTCTTGACCTGACTCCACGCTTGAAGAGAAATGCAATTTAAAGCATGCATTCATTCACAGACCAGGAGGAGAAGAAAGCAACAGTTCTGGCATCAGCTTCATCTTTGACATATGTATACAATTTCAAAACCTCATAAGACTGGACTAGTTATGCAGTTCTGCTAAGATTATCATCATGAATGTTTCTGTCAAATTTTCGAGCATATTCCTAATAATTCCGGTAATGAAACTGTTACATTTTCTGCCGATTTCACTGGCATTCCTGAGACAAGCATAATTTGCATGAAATCTGACATGACAGAAATGTTAGGAGGGGGGGAACTCTGAAATTCGGTACACGCAAACCCAAATTAAACAACATGATGAGCTAACTTTAGCAACAATATGAAGAAAGGTTCAAGGTTTCTTTTTATGAAGTGAGCTATGCCAAGTTGTTACACCCTCGTACGTGTTCTAGGGTTTGATTGTCATGAGGTACAGCGTGATCGAGAAGGTGCAGTGTTGTCGGCTTGCGTTCACAAGAATATTAGGCACTGGCAACTTTGATTTTTTAGGGTCCAGTAAAACAAAAACTCTAGATTTTTTAACTTCTCACTTTGTTTTTTTTTTTTTTTTTTTTTTTTTTTTTTTTTTTTTGTTTAATTAGGCCGAGTACCTTGATTCAATTAATTGTGAAGCTTTTAAAACATTTTGTGGCACCCTGTGAAGAGGTCATGGCTCTCTGTGGGGTGCACAGTTTGGGAACCTCGGTATAGTTTTTTCTCTTTTGATTATTAATCACACCAAGTTTACAATTTTAGTTTTTACATTCACAAAGCAATCTAGACTAGAAGAGAAACACGCTAATGTGACAATCAAATCGTAAAAAAACAACCTTATATTTAGCGTAGGTATAATGAAACACTCAATCGATTTCGAGGGCAGCTAAAGGTCCCTCCTCATCAGGAGAAAGAAATACATAGAAAGAAGAAAATAGGAATCACAGAAACACGTGGTGCTTATCAGCACTGCACGTGGTTATAACTAGATTTTTAATCAGAGTTGCACTGGCCGCCTACTTTTACTGAGCCAGGCTGTCTGATCAAGCATAAAGAAATATTAGCGAAGTTAAAATAGGGAGCGAGGGGCAAATGCACATTACGCTCAAAATCTGAACTTCAAATAATGGAAAGCAACCACTGAACGGATTTTTATACCCTCTGGTAGTACCAAGTGCGAGGAGGAGGAGGTAACGCCATCTATCGGCAAAAATAATTGAATTAAGACAGTAGAATTTTAAAGAATTTTAAAGGCATTAGGAAGGACTGGATTGGACTTCAAATCATTAACTAAACTTTCTAAATCTTTGTGAATGTGAAAAGCCTCAAGAAA